ACCGCATAATCAGCTTGACAGAAGTTATTAAGGCTGACTTGTCCGACCGTCGCCGAACGAGGTGTCGTGGTGGCAAAAAATCCGGCCTTGCGAACCGCAGTGAACTTTTTTGCCCTTCTCGGTCACTGGTTCGGACGAATGGCTGTCGTTGACCTCGTGTTCCAATGGGCAAGTGGGGGAGGGGGCACACTGCTAACGACGAACTCTTAAGTGATACGGCGACGACAGGCGAGTCATTGTCGTTATGGAACGCGGTCTTCGGGTGACGACGACTCAGTGACCGTGTGCCCTGTTCACTTTCGATTACGTCGTACGAAGCAACGAAAATACGGAAATTGGTTGCTAGGCGGAAATACGGAAATTGGTTGCTACGCGGAAATACGGAAATTGTTTTTATGCTATACAGCATCATGTTGCATATCCTATACTATGGCATGCCATGTATAACATTATTTAATCTATATAGTACATACTGTATGCAGTATATACTGTACTGTTATATTATACATAATATATTATCTGCACGTGTTCACACGATTACTGAATGAGATCAGTTCGTTGCCGCCTTCTTGAATAACATGTAATGGTTTTCGGTTCTAGTTCCAGTGTTCAAGGCAGCAGTTTGAAAACGGTGATTTAAATTCCTTTTCTCACCGACGCGTTTCGACGCTGCGCGTACGGTTATTATCCGTGATTGTGACGCTGGTGTGCGGCGTCGAAACGCGTCGGTGAGGAAAAGAGGTTACCTCGCCGTTTCCAGTGTTGCTTTGAATAATTGGTCGATGATGGTGGATCGTAAAATGTCGTTGTTTCGTGATCGTCATCTGCGGTTATCACGGCTCAAGCAGCACAGTAACTCAGATTTATCATGTCTGATCATCAGAAATGGTACTGCGGATTGATGCGCTTGGTGAAGTTCGTTGCTGCGGCGAAGGCCATGGTCCTCCGCGCAAGCGCGTCCGCCCGCCTCAGCCAGGCGTTGAGGCGTTTTCTCGTTTTGTGTTGTCCTCAGATTTGCGAGTTTGCGCCCGGTGCACGCTTCCCACGCGACAGAAGTTTTGAATGCTTACATTCTCGTTTCGGCCGTTTTATCGAACCAAGTCAGGCGCCGGATTCTAGGTTCGTCTGAGAAATTCTTCAGACCGGTGGTCGATAGTGTCATTGCATTGTCATAGGGTA